TATCAAAAACAAAATATTGAAACAAGAGCGAAAAAAATTAAAAGCTAACTATTTGGAAGGTTCACTAATAAAGCTCTGTTTCCTCCGCCGCAGCAACAGTTATTATTACAACAGCACCCTAGGAAAAAAGTATGTTAGATGAATCTAATTTAAATTTTTTACATAAGGTTTATTTTTTGTTTTATAGACCAAACATTGATTCTTATAAATGCTAAAACTTTTTCGTCTTTTTAGATGTTTCTTTTAGTTAGCTTCACAAAAAAGGTTTTAGTTTAGGTTTATTGTTTATTGACATTTGTAATCAAATGAAATACGTAAACGTTTTTGAAAGCATGCAAGAGAAGTGAAGAAAATTTATGTTGTAGAATCATACGATAATGCAGAGAGGAAAGTAGTTAGTTTAAGCCTATATTAAAAGTATAGATGTTTTTTTTTGTTGCTGGGTAAGGGCATATTTTTTTTTGTTTTTTTTGTCTTTTTGTTTCGAAGAAAAATATTATAGAAATTATTGTCAGGAAAACAAAAGATAACAATTTTACTTCCTTGTTGTGGGACGCAAACAAGTGGGCCCAGAAGCGAGAAGGAGCTACTACACAAGCCTAAATAGTAAAACTGTGAAAAGCTTTTCTTTTCCTATATTTCATTTCAATTAAACTGCTTTTAAGTTAAAAGTAAAAAATCTGAGTTTGCTAAAAAGAAAACAAAAAATCAGTAGACTGCTTAATAAACTTTGAATGATATAGCATTTTTGGGTTGATCAGACTTAACAGAAAGTCTGCCTCAAAATGGAAGCGATAAAAAGAAAAAAAAAAAGATAAAGACTGAGGCCAAAGCAAAAAATTACAATTTTGTTTAACAATAACAAAGACTTAAATAATTTTGGCTGATGAAAAAGAAAAGGATGAAAAGTTTAAATGGAATAAAAAGGTGGCTAAAACAATGTGTGTTCAGTCATTTTTGCAAGTTTTTTAGTGGTCATCTCAGAAAAGAGTAAAAAATTACTGTGAAACCAATTTTGTCATTGAATAATAAATAAATCTTTTTAATCAATCAAAAAAGTATTTGAATTGCTTTCTTTACTCTTAATTGTTGTTTTTTTTTAATATTTGTTATTGTTTTTTATTGCTGCTGTTGTTACTGTTGGGAGTTATAGCGGTATTGTCAATATGAGTATAAGCTAAACAATTCTCAAACATCACTATATCTTTTGTAAAGACATAAAGCAAAAAAAACAGGAAAAAACTGCTTTTTTTTAATTTAAGTAAAAACGTAAATATTACTCTATTTTGATCGCCATCATTGTCATTAATTTTTACGCTATTCTGTCTCTGCAAAGCTAACGGAAAAAGATTCTTTTCAATACATTTTCTTTAGCACTATTTGAAGAAATCTGCGTAAACAAAGCAGTAGTAGTAGCAGCGATAGTAGTAGTGGAAAAAATGAGGAGAAAAAATGAATGTAGAAAAAAATATATAATTGCAAGGAACATCCTTGATATATACCACTCTTATGTCTCTGTATAATACTTGTTTTTTTTTTTCCTTTTTTTTTTTTTTTTTTTTTTTT